AAGCACCTCGGAGACAGGAGCGACACTGTGAATGCCACACTCATGCACACACCCAGACGGCAAAGCACCTCGGAGACAGGAGCGACACTGTGAATAAAAGGCACGTGCAAGAGCAGCGTCAGCACTGCTGGCCAGAACTCCGGGGACGGCGCTCGGCTCGGGACACTCTGCTGGACTCACCGTGTCTTTGACAGCCATGAAACAGTGGCAGATCCAGCGTCGGGTGGTGCCGTCACGACATATGTAAGAGAAGGCTCGGTCAAAGTTCCTATCTGGGGCACAGAAAGAGACTTTCTCTATCGTCTGGTCAACTATGAGGTCCTAGAAGATGGGAAGCATGGGAGAAAAAAGACTGATGAGGTTATGCGGTCTTCTCAGAACACACACAGGACTCTCTGAGCGGACACAGCCTGGCTGGGGACAGGTCTGTCTGAATGAAGGAGTCTGAGCCCCGAGAAGCTACGTTAGGAGGTCGCCATCTGCCCAGATGATGCCCTCACTTTATCCACATCTTCTGAGATGCACGTTGCTTGATTCTGGTTTCAGACCTTTCGTGGAAGATGCACTGGACAACTTTACAATATACATGATCAATATATTTAATTTGGTTTGTTTGCAAATATAAACAAAAAGACATGCTAGTCATGTTCCTACTATTGTTACACAAATCTGCACATTAATAATCCTGTTCTGCATACTGTTCAACCAATAATATATTCCACCCAGTGAAAAACTGGTTTTGGCAATATTGGAGATTGAACGAGGGCCACACACTGAGCGCATCCCCAGCCCTTTTTATTTATTTACCTTAAAAATCTGAAACAAGGCCTCCCTGAGTCGCTTAGGCTGGCCTTGAACTTGCAGTTCTCCCGCTTCACCCCTCCTCAGGTACTGCAGTTTGCAGGTGTATAATTTCCATTTGGTTCTTTTTTAGTGTCTTCTCTGAGATTTTCTAGCTGTTCACTTAGTATGAGCATATTTTCCTTACATCACTAATATAGTTTGTAATGCCCACTTTAGTAGAAGTCTTACCTGCTAATTGCAACATCTAAATCAGGTGTGTCCGAAATGCTGCCTATGACCCCACAAGGCCCACTTCTTCCCACGTGACTTTCAGCAGCATTTTCCGCGGCCACGTGCTGCTCAGGCGCAGACTGGCAGGTGGCCGTGGGACGCTGAGCGGGGACTCGGCCAGAGCCACACCCCACACAGACCTGGGCACAGCTGTCTTCCCAGCACTTGGGGGGCAGGCTGAGGCAGGAGGCTTACTGTGAGCTCCAGGCCAGACTACCCCGTGAGACTGTCCCGAAACACAACAAACAAAACGCACCCCCAGTATCAGGCGTCGTGTTCTTGTATGAATAAAACAATGATTACTGGTAGCAATATTTCAACTTATAATAGGATGCACACGTCTGTGAAAAGACCTTTTTTGTTATTAAGAAGACAGGTCAGTTTTCTTAGTTATTAAACTTAATAAATAAAATAGTCATTTAGCAGTTGTGTATGGAAGTACAAAAATGTACCGAAGGCTTTTGGTCATCATCTTGTTATAATTACATACATAATATCACAAATACTAAAAAGCTATTAATTTTTGGACTTTTCAGAATTGAAGCCAGACATTCAACTCAAAGAAATACCTGCCCATTTCTCTACCACACCTCAGAACTACCAGCCCAGAGAAAAGCTGCCTTCACCTCACAAGTGTGTCTTACATATGCCACTACCTCTGGGTCTTGTTCCTGCTGCCTCTGTCACATATATGCAATGTGGACATGCGTGTCTAATGTAAGTAACAAATATGTACATTTGTGAGCTATTTTCAAAGATGAAGCACATCAAAAATAAAATTAATCAAAAATTTCCACTAAGCAAGTACCTTGAGCATTACAAAACTACAAACAAACATCCCACCAGTTCTGTTGAGGTTGCCCTATTTCTTAAACTAACTTGTGATGAAAAACATAAGAAGGGAGGTTGGCTAGTTACACACATTAACTACACTGGACATTTTATGTGCCAGCCAAGACAGTTCCCAAAGGCCAGCCGGAGGCCAGGTCGCTACTGCTGTCTGTGAGGATGCGCCCCAAGCTTCTGCCTGTCTGTGTGCTCCCGCAGAGCAGACACCTTGGGCAGCACAGCCGGGGTGTCTAGGCTGCTCTACTTCTTGGAAGTGGTTTTTAACAGGTAATCTAATGATGTACTCAGATACATGGATGGCTACCTTTTGGCAGTATATATA